CTTCCAAGTGACAAAAGATAACATAAACACAGTTGAAAGACAAGAAAAATATTGGAAGATTTTTGCAACATACATAATGAAAAAAGTATAAATATCCAGAAAATGTTACAACTCCTACAAATTAGTCAGGAAAAAACAACTCATAGAAAATGGGCAAAAGAAAAGAACAAGCAATCACAGAAAAAGAAACAAAGTGGCCAGTAAACATAAACTGTTCAACCTCAGTAAAATAAGAGGAATGCAAACTAAAGATATTACCTCTCACCCATCAGTTTAGCAAACAGCAATAAATTAAATTATTAATCAGTATTAGCAAGGATACGGAGGAATAAAATACTCCCATATACCTGCTGATGAGAATGTAAATTGTTACAAGCACTGTGGAGAGCTGAAAATGTAAACACCTTCCTCTTACAGTTAAACAAATAAATCAGAATAAACACCCTTCTTTGCTTCCCACCAAAACCCACTAAAACAAGAATTTAAAAATGTAAAAGATGTACATGAACATGGACAAAAAGAATGGGAAAGGGCACACAGGATATAAGAGGTTTCAACAAAATTTATTGAAACGTGAAAAGTGAATAAAAAAGAGAAAGCCAAAATCTTAACTGGCTAAGAGGGAAGGGAGCCAAAGCAGAAGCCAAATCATGCCAGAGAAGCCAGGAAAGGATCTGAATTAAGAAACATGAGGTACCTCTGAATATAGTTCAATGTGAGGGTGGAACGAGAAGGTGTGGTCGAAAATCCTTCAAAGAAAACCTCAAGCTCCCAGATCCTCTCTGCTCTGAGGGTAGGTTCACTCTTAGAAAAATGTCAGAGATTGGCCCGGCGCAGTGGCTCAGGCCTATAACCCCAGCACTTTGGGAGGCCGAGGCGGGTAGATTACCTGAGGTCAGGAGTTCGAGACCAGCCTGAGCAACATGGAGAAACCCGTCTCTACTAAAAGTACAAAGTTGGCCGGGCAGAGTGGCGCATGCCTATAAATCCCAGCTACTCAGGAGGCTGAGACAGGAGAATTGCTTGAATCTGGGAGGCGGAGGTTGCAGTGAGCCAAGATAGAGCCATTGCACTCCAACCTGGGCAACAAGAGCGAAACTCTGCCTCAAAAAAAAAAGTCAGAGATATCAAATACAACTAAGGTGGAGATCAAGCACTGTTAAGTGGGGTAGGGAGTGCTAACTGACTACATCATTATCAGTCTATCCTATTCCTTATTAACAAAACCATGTATCTTTAGCTGAGTATACAGCTGTTCATAACGAAAATTCCTTTTCCCAGCATCCTATGAGAAGTGGACACACATGATGGCTGGTAACATATAGGCAGGGTGTTGTGGAACAGTTGCCAGGAAACACCCTAAAGGGCAAGCCCTGTACCCGGAACTTGGATGATTGCAACCTGGACCTGAGAACAATATTCTAGGTTTTAAACAGCAGAAAGCTGAAAGGAATCTGAGCCCCAATTAACTTTGCAGAACCACTATACCAGCCCTGGGCTACCAGAACGACCTACCTGCCAACTTTTTACAAAAGAATAAAATATTAACTCAGATAATTTGGGATCTGCCACATAGAAATGAATCTAACCCTAATGCAGGTGTCATACTAAAAATAGATGTACCTGACAGACTGCATACATGATTGTTAAGATCCCCAACCTCCGTTCCCCAGGATAAAATTTAGAAAGCTGATAAGCAGACTTTTTCATAGAAGGAGACTAGAAGCTTTCTCTCTAAAGAAATTGATCACCACAAAAGAAATTACACAATGCTGGTAACTGGTATATCTGGAGCTTCAAATAAAATACAAAATAAAAAATAAAAAACCAGCAGGGTTCCCATTTGATCACCCTAGGTCACCATTTACCAAGGTCTAATCAATTTTTAGTAACAGCCACTTTATAAAGGAAGAAGTATCATACAAAAGGGTTTTGTTGTTGTTGTTTTGTTTTGTTTTGTTTTGAGACAGGGTCTCAGTATGTTGTTCAGGCTGGCCTCAAACTCCTGGGCTCTAGTGATACTTCTGCCTCAGCTGGAATTATGAGTGCATGCTACCATACCCAGAACAAATGAGTACTTAAAGTACTCATTCTCATTATTATAATATGCATAAATGTACATTGTAGGAAATTTTAATAGAACACCTACAAGTTAGTAATAGGAAAACAAGTCTATCACTGAAGCTATATATGGAGCTGCATATCAGGACTTACCAAGCTAGCTTCAATTCTTTAGGAATTAGTTTAAACTCTCTTTTTAAAAGTTCATTAGTTTAAAAGTTCATTAAGTTAAAAAATTAATGTTAAGTTTACACAATTATCCAAACATCATTATTAAAAGTAAAATATTCTGCCGGATTTGAATGAACATCACACAACTGATTCACATCTAATTTTACAGCATATATTCCTAAGCAACCTCTGTACCTATCTCCATTATAAACCTTAGTAATATCTCCAAGCTTACCCTAACCCCTCTAGAAGACCAAAAAGTGAAAATACTTAATATTTGTTGAATTAATGTGGCAGGAGGGGATTATATAGAGGTGGCTAAAGAAACATGGTTAGTTTCAAAGAGACTATATCTACAACAGGTTCACTACCTAGGAACAGTTCACACATTTAAGTCTGGTAAAAAGAATAAAAGAATGAACAAATGAATTAAGTTTTAAAGTTTACAGGAGAACCTTATCCAAACCATTATCCACCAACCTCCCACGTCTGTTAGTCTAAAACCCATGCACCAATTGCTTCTGAAGACCTCAAATCTGAGGGCTGGAACCAAATTTGATATATTCAACAAGATTTTTATCACAGGGTTCATTATACCACAACTATGTTTTCTTAATATTACTAATGGAAAATCCTCACTGAATGCTATTCATGCCTACATAAAAATTACCTTGAAATTGTTTAATTATGTTAATTCTAAAGAATGGCTAAGTATTCCTAAGTTAACTTAAAAAAAAATTGCTTATGCTATTAGACTAATTACCCTTGCAGCCCAACAGTTCTAGCTCTAAAAATTTGAAACCAAGGGGTCTTAATTCCTCTGAGCAATCTATTCAATATCCCTTCCTTTGGAGAACCAACCCTTCCCCAGTCCGGACTCATCTTGCTTTGACACATGGGGTAAGAGGAAATTAAATCGGTTGAAAGACTCAGATAAGGGCAATTAACTTAGCCCATTTCCCACCATCATAAATGGGTGCAAACAAACCCAGAAGCCTCCCATGGACTTCCACCAGAGCTAAGGAGAAAAGCACTCTCTTCTGTAAGATACTGAGTGTTGTGGACGATTGTAATTACACTACAGCCATCTCTCTCAATACAGGAACAAAGCTTTCGAGGGAAGCATCATGGAGGCAAGACGATCTCCAGTGATACCTAAAGCTAAGGAAAGAATATCCCTAGACTTTTCAGTTAGCAGAATAAGTCTTTTCTTTCTTTTTTTTTTTTTTTTTTTTTTTTTTTTGAGACGGAGTCTCGCTCTGTCACCCAGGCTACAGTGCAGTGACGATTTCAGCTCACTGCAGGTTCCGCCTCCCGGGTTCACGCCATTCTCCTGCTTCAGCCTCCCAAGTAGCTGGGACTACAGGCGCCCACCATCACGCCAGGCTAATTTTTTGTATTTTTAGTAGAGACGGGGTTTCACCGGGTTAGCCAGGGTAGTCTCGATCTCCTGACCTCGTGATCCACCCGCCTTGGCCTCCCAAAGTACTGGGATTACAGGCGTGAGCCACCGTGCCCGACAGAATAAGTCTTTTCTCAGCTCAAGCTAGTTTAGCCTGGGTTTCTACTACTTGGATTGGAATATAGTTGTGATTCTCTTGTGAAACAAATAGAATATACTATACGGAGATGAACAAGGTAGGCAAAAGAAATTTTAAACTAAAAAATCCTATAAAAATGTTCTTATAACTATTAAGTATAATGAAACGAACCCTCATTAAATCAGAATGAGCTAAATAAGCATTTGCTAAAATAACAAATTTACTCTATTATGTATATACCTGTTTGTGAACAAACTGCTTTTAAACAACCTACCTTGAACGGTTCTATTACGTAACCAGAGTTTTATTTCAAATACTTGTAGCTCCTAACTTTCAGAATTCTCCATCTGTCATTTGATTATTTTGAACTGAGGAAGATGGTCCATTTCATGTGGACAATGTGATGAGTTGCTCAGACATTTGGTCCAGTGTCCCAATTCCCTCACTTCGCCCACTTCCTTCAAGCAACTACTATTATGAAATCTAAATTTGGCCCAAGAAAGACAGTGATGGAAAAATGGGGGGAAAGGGGAAGCTTCAGAGACCCAAAAAAGTGAAAACTACTTCTAAGTAAATGTGGCAAGAGAAATCAGTACATGGCAGACTGCTGCTCCCAGGCACCTGATCGACGGAGCCCTCGCCGACCAAGGGCTGGGGCAGGCGGGCAGGCAAGACAAGCGGGCAGTCACAGCCGGCCTGCAGGGCGGGTCCTTTCCACCAGCAAAGAATGCAGACCACACCTACGCGCCCGGTCAGGCCGGGGCGGGGCGGCTCGGCCCAGGTTACAGGATTGAGGGAAGGGGGGAGACAGGAAGAGGGGCGGCGAGGGACTGCTGGCAAACAAGCTACCCACTCCCAGCCCCGCGCCCACCTCAGGAGCGTCTCGAGCGCGCCCTCGTGCTTGTCCAGCGGGCGACCGACTGCGGCTCGGCGCAGCTTGCTGAGCTCCTCCGCCGCGCGACAGTACTGGGCCTGCTCTTCCCCGCCGCTTGGGTAAGTCTGCTGGATGAACTTCACCAGCGGCTTGGCCAGGTCCACCTCTGAGGTCTTTTTCAGCTGCACCGAGATGAACGTCGCCATGATCAGCGCCTCCGCCGCCGTTCGGGCCAAACAGACAGCGGACAGCCTACGACGGCCGAGAAGAGAGAGGTACTGGTCTGGCGGACTGGCGGACTGACGGGCTGACGGACGTGCGCTCCGCCTGCGTTCCGGGTCCGGCCACTTCCGGGAGCTCCAGCGCAAGCGCACTGGATGCGGGGGTCCTTAAGCCGTTCGCGGTCACGTGAAGGTGTCGCGGCGGCGACGCCCTCCTGGACCCAGTTCAGGCTGTGCTATGCTGTAAAATACTACTTTCTCCGCATCTGGAATTCTTCCCTTCCTCCTTCTTGCCGCAGTGGCGTACTGAGCACTTTCACGTAAGAGTATTCATCCACTCGAACAACCCCCTGGAGAAGTACTCCTGTCACTGCCACCGGCGAGAGTTTGTGGCTACCTCCCCGAGATGCGGTCCCAGGGTTATTGTGACCTATGATGTTTATTAAGCTACTGTTGACGGGCTGCTGTGCACAGGAACGGAGTGCACAAGGAACCTGGTAGGCAAGACCCCTGCCATCGTGCAGCTTACTGTCAGGTTGACACAGATACTAAGGTAAACGGAAAAAGTATCAGGAAGAAAAACAGGGTGCTTGGGATTTAGGAGATATTAAGATCGCTTGGAGGACCCTAATTTAAATAAGATAAAGAAAGTAGGTTTTCTCCGGAGTAGGTGAACTGAAAATGAACCTGTGTCTGTGGTTGCTGTTTTGTAGAAAGAACAAAATTTTAAATACATTGAAAACGACACCTGTAATTTGAGAAGATGCTTGACATCAGGAGAGGAGAAGAGTGGAGAGAGGTGGAGTGGCAAAGAAGAGTCTCCAAACCAAAAGCCTGCGTGCAGAGGCCCTAGGAGGCAAGCACTTACCATGTTTCGGGAATAGAAACGAAACATATGACAAGACTCTTAAAAACAAATAGAATTGGGATGGAATAAAGTTGGATGAGTAAGCAGACATCAAATCGTTCAGAAACTTGTAGTCCAAGTTGAAGAATTTGTTTAGTATTGTATAATAAATGCAGAGGAAGCTATGTACATTTATAATTTACATTTTTTAAAGGCCACGTTGTAGCTCAATCGGATAGTTTGTCTTTTGATGGAATGTAGTATACAGTATCATCATGATATATTCCAGGCAAAAATATTTAACTTGAATCTATCAAGCCTTTGCATCTAACAGACTTTATAAAAAAATACAACTGATAGATGAACAAACTAAATGATGCCAGAGGAAGTAACTAGACAGAAGGTGAAACCAGAAGGTGAAACATTCTGCAGGATAACTGGCCCATCTCTTCAACAATTTGTCATGAAAAAAGCAACTGCTTATGAAAAGAAATTTAAGGGACATAACAGTTTGAATTGGATCCTAGTTTGAACAGACTATAAAATGCATTTTCAGGAACATTAAAGAAATATGAATGTAGATGGACTAAGTATTGGATAAAATAGAACTGTATTGCCATGGAAAAGATCATTAACTGAAAAGAGCAAGTCACGAAGTAGTATGTTACAGCATCCCATTTTGGTTTAAAAATGCACATCTGTGTATTTAGGTACAATGAAAAAAATAGTGGCCTTATACCCTAAGGTGTTAGTAGTGGTAATCTTTGGAAGTGGAAATGTGTATTTTCTTATTTATGTTTGCCTATCTTTTTCATTGTAACTTTTGCAGCACATAGACTACTTTCATTATAGTAAAAGTTTATTTTACCACAATTTTTTTTTTTTTTTTTTTTTTTTTTTTTTGAGACAGAGTCTCAATCCGTCACCCAGGCTGGAGTGCAGTGGCACAATCTCAGCTCACTGCAACCTCCGCCTGCCAGGTTCAAGCTATTCTCTTGCCTCAGCCTCCTGAGCAGCTGGGACTACAGGTGCATGCCACCATGCCTGGCTAATTTTTGTATTTTTAGTAGAGACTGGCTTTCGCAACATTGGCCAGGCTGGTCTCGAACTCCTGGCCTCAAGTGATCCACCCACTTCAACCTCACACAGTGCTGGGATTACAGGTGTGAGCCACTGCACCTGGCCTATTTTACCACAATTTATAAAAAGTTTTGTTTATTTTAAGTTATTCTAGGTTAAAATAAGTAGCCACCCTTGGCTGATGCATAAATAAAACATTAGAGGAAGGAAAGAATGGAAGCAAGGAGGCAAATCATGAGATCATTTCAGAAATCAAGACAAGATCATGAAAGCTAACATTAACAAGAGTGAACCAAACGGTTAATATCTTTGAGTTTAAAACTGAAGAATTTACCAATGAATTGCATAGGAAAGTAAAGGGAGTGGTCAAGGATAGATCCTAGTTTTGGGGCCAGAACATCTGAGTGGTTAGTAGAATCATTACCAGTTGATAACCCATGGAAGAGGGTCGGGGATGGGTTATGTCTTGTAGGTTGGTTGACAGGACTGACCCATTGGGAAGATAATGAAGAAGCAAAGTATATGAAAAGAGGAGGAGAAAGGGTAACCAGAGGAGGGAGGATACAAAGAGAGTAATTAGCCATCAGAAAGATGAGGGACATGACATTTGTTGAGGCAGATGACGGGGAAAAGAAAGTTAACATAAATATGGTTAGTTTTGTGACATTGACCGAAGGAAGATTAAGGTGATACTATCTGATGGCTTAGAATGAAAACCAAACTCCCTACCACAACATGATGGTCTTTCTCTGCAACTTCATATTTTGCCTCTTGTTCCTCATTTGTTACCACTGAGTCACAGTGGTCTTTTTAGTTTCTCAACTCACCAAGGTCTTTCTTGCCTCATGGGACCTAGAATGTTTTCTCCCTTTCTTCATGTCTTAGTTGAAAGGTCTCCTCTCCTCATCATCATACTATCTAAAGTACATTCCCTCCCTTGTTAACCTCCAGCGCAGCCATTAGTTCCTTCATAACACTTACCCTAACTTGCAAGTATTTTGTTTGTTGATTTAATTTTTATCTGACTTCCCCACTAGAATGTAACCTCCATGAGGGCAAAAATTGTGTGTTTTGTATACCGATATGTCTCTTAACACTTGGTATAGCAGGCACTCAATTTCAATTTTAAACTCAAAGATAGTATCTTAATAAACATTTGTTCTTTGCTCACACAAAGTCTAATATGGAACAGGCTTAGAGTTGTCCTCCAACCAGTGTCTGAGCAATCCAGACCACTTTGATCTTGTAACTCTGCCGTCCCAACATGAGATTCCACTTTCGCTGCAGAAGAGGGAATCTGTAGCATCATGCAGTGGCTTGTCACTACCTCAGCCCTCCCACTTCCCCTTGTATTTCACTAGCTAGAACCTTTCATATGGCTCCGCCAAACTGCAACGGGACTGGGAAGGGAGAATCAGATATTAGGGAGCATTCATAATGCCTTCCGAGGGGTGTGTTTCACTGCTTCCAAACTTGCTTATGATGATGTTAGTTTTTCATCTATGTGATGAAATGCCATGTATTCTTAGTGTGTGTTCTCAGCATAACAAATACATTTTGGGAATATTAAGTAAATGGATTTTCTTTCTCGAAAATTCCTAGTTCTGGGCCTATCATTAACCCCACTGATTGAACCAGTGGAAATAGTTGCCTCTTTGAATGGACAGAACCCTGCTAAAGGCAGCTTTGAGTTTCAAAATAGTGTGTTTCAAGTCCACGTTGAGACAATAGCCTGAAAGTAAGCACTTACGATTTTTGGAGGAGACTTTGTTGTTAAGGAGAAAAGAGGCTTACAGAAGTCAGATTCAGAAGACTGTAATATTTTTACAATAAATGAAAGTAAACAGTATAAGAATTTGATGTAAGGGAAGTTCCTGCAGTGCAAGAAAGAAAGTCCTTTTGGTACTGAGGGGAAGAGTCTAAGAGAGAGAAGGTGAACAACAAAAGGAAAATGTAAATGTGGTATTCATACTTCCTTACTCCACACTCAGGATAAACCTAGAGTATGAGGTAGATGGGGGAATCTAGAGGGGAAGAAGCATGGAATAGGAACACCCAAATAGACTTGATGAAACAAAAAACATCAAGGATGGCTCCTGTGTCACCTGGGAAGACACATCTCTTGTGCGGAATGGAAAAAAGGCAATGGTAAAGGACCAGGGCCCTAGATTTTTTACAACGTGCGATAGAGAACTATTTGTCTCCTTAATTTACTAGCATATTTACCTTTAAAAATTGATGAATGAAAGAAAAAGTACCCATTTTTCAAACATGGGTGTGTAAATTTTTTCCACTTTGTACAGAAAATTTTAAAGAAATAGAAACTACTGAACACCTTATATTCAGAATTATTCCCTGTATAAGCCCATTCCAATCCCATATACTGCTGATTAAATTTTCATCAGTTGGCAGTTCTCTAGTATCGGTTTCACTGCTATTTAAGTAACTACTGCCCTTTGCTACCAGTGTCTCTCTTGGGTGAGAGTCACTTTACTCGAATGAGATAACTTCTGAGAATAAATTGATGCACTATTTTGGAAGAATTGCTCTATAGAGTAAAAAATAATTCTGGATAATTGAAAGTTATCTTGTGAGTATCTGGACATTAAGGATACATTTCAAGACTCCCATTTTCACTAAAATCCCGTATTTGTTTAAGCATTTCAAGTTAAAGGGAGCACCCTCCTCCCCCTTTCACCCTGACTGTTGTTGTTAATTCGTTTTTGGAGCTATATAAGAATGTCTCTTTAATCGATTTTCCCTTAGGCATACATTAGCTCTCTGTTCAAAACTCAGTAGCAGGGAGTAGTAAGTAAATGGTTATTAGTGATTCTTCATATAAAGCACATTTTGAGTTTCTTAGAAGAAAATTATGCATAAAGATTACCTTCAGATATCATGTCTTTAGTTTGTTAATAGAGAAGTTTCTTTGGACATGTAGAACACTGTAATAAGATAAATTTTAAAAAAGAAAAGTAAGCATATATACAAAATGTATGCAATTTCATTTCACAATTGAAATGAAAACCAAATCCTACAAGCTTCTTGGTACAAAGTTTTGGTAACACTTGGATGACCAGACTGAGTTATTCAGCAAATATTTTTGGAGCTTCCACTGTGTGCCAAACAAAATGTAATTCAAGAGAATTCTATGACCAATCTATTAATCTATTGTATATATTTACAGAGGTCTTTATACCACCCTTATATAAGGTAGTTCGGCAAATAGTTCACAGGAGGAGGTCTAGGAAAGCAGTTAAGGAAAGTCATAAAATGGCAGCTCTGCAGCAAGCAGAAAGTACAGCTAGCCCAGAATAAGGAGAGGGTGGAGGGCCGCAGGAGGAAGATCCAATAGAAACAAAAAAAAAAGGTTGGAGGGATGATTAGATAGAATGAAAACCACCGGGTTTCTCATTGGAAAAATTATTCTTTTCCCTTTGTAATTAACAACTAATTTGTGGGAATATAATTTGAGGCTATATAAAATGCTGTTCCACATTAAACTTTCTTCCACTAGTTTTAGCATACTTTGATGATTCTTGCATGAATCTAGTATTTCTATGATGATTGCAAAATGGCAATTTTCTTATTCATTATTATGCCTATATCTATTAGCTGACATTATTCTAGAAAGAAGAATTTTCTTTTCTCCTGTATTTATTCATTTATATGTTTATACCAACATGAACCCATGGATTTTTATTCAATTTAGTAGATTATAAACCATTATTATTATTTATTTTGATGCTCAAATTGTCCAAGATTTGACTAATATGAACACCCTCAAGGTGGCTCCTATGTTCTTTTTCTTCCAATATTTCCTTTTCTTTTTTTTTTTTTTTTTTTTTTTTGAGACAGGGTCTTGCTCTTTCCTCCAGGCTAGAGTGCAGTGGTGTAATCATGGCTCACAACGGCCTCAACCTTCCAGGCCAAGGCTCAAGCAATTATCCCACCTCAGCCTCCCAAGTAGTTGGGACTACAGGTGCACACTGCCATGCCCGGCTTATTTATTTATCTATTTTTTGTATTTTTTGCAAAGACGGAATCTTCCTATGTTGTCGAGGGTGGTCTCAAACTCCTGGACTCAAAGGATTCTCCTGCCTCAACTTCACAGTTCATTTTAAAAATTTCAGACACAGCACAGAGTTTTGCAGTGAATGCCCACCTACCCACCACCTAGATTCTAACATTAACATTTTACTATGCATGCTTTATCTCATATCTGTCCATCTGATCTTCCCTCTATCCACCCATAAATCTACATTGCTTTTTGGATCCATTTCATAGTACATTACAGTCATCAGAAAGGAAAAGTAAAATAAGTAAATTTATTGGTAAATAGGTAATTGATGGGAGTCAAGAGATATTTAAATGATATCAATGAATGTCGCTTAAAGCTGAAAAATCGAATAACAGAAGGAAGTAAAGAAAAAAAGGAAGTAAAGAAAAAGACTTTTAAAATGACTCACAAAAGAAAACCCAATGTGATAGATTATAAAATTGGCCACACACTCTTCCTTTCCCTTTGTCATGATTTTGCAGTATGACATTGCAGATCTTCCCATCAGGAAGTGGAGTCTTTTTCTCCACCCTTTAAGTCTGGGTCGTTGATATGAGCTGCTTTGGCCAATGGGGCATTAGCAGTTGTGATGCAAGCAGACACTTCAGTCATCACAGTTTGTCCTCTCTTACTGCACTTGCAACCCTGTGACCTCCATGTGTGCCGTCTTGCCTGCTAGATTATGAGACACGTGGTTGAGTCACTCTCCTAGCCCTAACCAACAGTCTGCTAATTGTTGGACATATGAACAAGGCTATCTTAG